TGTGCTAAGTACAAAAAACTTCAGAACCCTGTTACAAAGGCTCATCATTATCTCCTAGTAATTTTCTTTGTTTTCAAAAGACAGACTTGCTGATGGATGTTAAGAATCTAATTCCACAGGCTGTCCTTAGAAGATTTAGCATTATAATCATTTGTGGCTCACAAGATAGGTCCGTGAGTATAACAGAAAATGCAGAAAAATGAGAAAATACTGAGCAAGAAGTTGCAAGACAGGGACTTAAGCAGGGAACAATGAAGGAACCCCAAAGACATAGTGGAATAATGAAGGTATGGGAATCAGAAAGATCAATATTTAAATTGCAGCTGTCACACTTAATTTTTAATTAATAAAATCTGTGAATACATTGAATATCAAGAATAAGCAGAAAGCAAAAGAATAGTATGAAGGAAATAATTGTCAAGAAAAAACCACATCAACAACAAATGCAGAAACTGTGATGATGAAAACAATAAAAGCCCCCTGATTATAACGGAGCATTCTAAAGACCCAAGGGCCAGAGTGGAAGCTGATACTTCCACTCTTAGTGTGGACAAGCTGGCTGAACTTTAGACTGAGACGATCCAGCCAGTGATGAGAACCACTCAGATTTAAAATTTTTAATTTGATTATCCAATAGAGAAATTTGAAACACGAGGCAAAAGACAAACTCTTTAAGCAATAGAATGAATTGTGATCATTTCTTAAAATGGGAGTAGGCTAGAGGCACAGCAAGTATACAGAGGGAATTGAAAAGTTTTTTTTTTACTTTACTAGAAAATTAAAATGCCAATGAGACATTCAGGTGCAAATATCAAGTAGATATAAGTGTGGAATGTTGCCAGAATATGCATGACGTTTATTGTGACAATAAATGAGAACCACTAAGATGGCAATATTGGTAGGGTAAAAGAATGCATTACTGTGTCCAAGGTATTTCAACTTAAACGAGTAGAGATGGAAAAAAAGGATCCAACCAGCATTGGGGAGACTAGCGAACAGGAAACCAGGACAGTCCAGTGTGAAGGAAGCCTAGTGAATATGTCAAAGCTTCTTCACAGAACGGATTTGACCAAAATGAAGGAAATGACACAAGAGACAGCCAACAGTATGAGAGGAAATAACTGCAAGATCTACACTTAACAGCAGGTCACTATGTAGGCTATAAAAAGGACACAAAAATACAATTAAATCAGGAGCACAGCTGGTAAATACGGTCTGCAATGCCCCGTCACATACGGGTGAGAACTGGTGTCCAGTGGCTCGACCTCAGATCATGGCTGAAGGCCTGGGGAAGGCAGCAGCAGATGGCCCGAGTTTCTGGGCCTCTGGCACCCTAGTGCAGTCATCTGGAAAGTGAACCAGCTAATGGAAATCACTTTTTCCTCTCTCGAAACTCTTTCAAGTACATGAATAATCTCTGAAAAAATAAAACCCATGTGCAGTAGATATAAAGAAAGACATAGAAATGTCTAATAGGTACATGAAAAAATGGTTAATATCAGCAATCAGGTTTATGCAAATCAAGACCACAATGAGATCTCAATGATACAACTGTGTTTCCTCAAATGTTAGGACACGCACCCTCACCCAATTAAAAGCACAAAATTAAGCTTGCTACCCTTTCTTGGAGAGAACATGAAAAATCATCTCTGTAGGAGATAACAAAATACAAGCAACATACTGTTGAAAATCCCTTCTCCATGAATTCTTCCACTCACAGATTTGGAAGGGCTGAAGAGACAACAATCCCATAATGGGAAAATGGAGGAAAACATGGAGGGCACACTCAAAAAGAGGTTTATCGTTGACAAGTGAAAACTGCAAGATCTGTGTCACAATACATTCTAAAAATAAAATCCCCACACACTTACACTGGAATCCTGTAATTTGGTAACAGTGATAAAAACCAAAGCAAGGCTTATGAAAAAATAATAAAACAAACACCAGGGCCCGGCGTGGTGGTGCAGTGGTTAAGGTCCTCGCCTTGCACGCCCGGGATCCCATATGGGCGCCGGTTCTAATCCCGGAAGCCCCGCTTCCCTTCCAGCTCCCTGCTTGTGGCCTGGGAAAGCAGTTGAGGACAGCCCAAAGCTTTGGGACCTTGCATCCGCATGGGAGACCCAGAAGAGGCTCCTGGCTTCGGATGGCATAGTATCGGCCGTTGTGGTCACTTGGGGAGTGAATCATTGGACGGAAGATCTTCCTCTCTGTCTCTCCTCTCTGTATATCCGCCTTTCCAATAAAAATAATAATAATAATAATAAAAATAAATCTTAAAAAAAAAAAAACCAAAGCAAGCCTTAATTAAGGTTTCACCTCCCAGAGGTAACACTCATCATTTTGGCAGAAAAGGGAACACTACCTTTGTGATTCAAACACTTCCGGTAGCTGGTACAGCCCACTCTGTTCCAAGGACAGGCATTGTAGAATAACTGACAGGAAGGGTTCCCCATTCCAAGGGCGCAGGGAAAGAGCACAGCATACCAAAGATTCTTTGAGTTTTTCCTACTGCCTCAAGGGGAAACACAGGAAACAAGGGTGACTTAATGAAAAAAAAAAAAAATCCCTTAGGGGACACATCCCGCCCTGGCCAAACGAACAGTCTCACACGCTGCACTGTTTTGTTTTCCACCGATCCTGCTCACAATGAACACATCTTTCAGCATTTCCATAATTTTACTCACAATTTTAAGGATCTCTCCGTACATACTGTGGATAGAGTGTAAGAGAATATGACATGGATGAAGGGCATGCCTTCAAACAAAAAGAGTGGGAATTAACCCATTGTCTAATTACATTATTTCAGCTTAAAACAATAAACAGAATTTCATTTTAACAGAATAATATGGTTACTCTATGAAGCACATCTGTAACTGCTCTAACAGAAATACAAAACCCAACTGGGCCACCACGCCTGGGGATTCAGGGAGCATCTGCCTCAGGTTCTGCTGTCTCTCATGATTGTGGGAATACTGATGTAACCTTTTGAAGCCTGCATCCCCTTCTCAGGAGGAAGAGATAATGATTATCTGAGGATGAAAACTGAAAACACATAGAATAAATCACATAACAAATAATGACAAAACATTTCAACAATGACTTTGTTAAAGTTTTTATTCTGAATGTATTCTATGAATCACCATTTGAAAAAGATCTCTCTGAAACTGCAGATCTTAACCCGTTCATTTTAAAGGAACTGACTCTGGCTTTTGTACTATCTATGCTCGTGTTTTTTTTAAGAACTGACGGTTCCCAGAACCTAATTTCAATTTTTCTAATGTAAAAACAATTCACTTACTTGCAGGTTCTACTCTGATAGGGAGACGACGAAGCAAATTCCTGAAAATCTGTCATTAAGCACATGAGACTACTTCATTCTTGATTTTTCAAATAAGTGCATCTGTGATGTAATAATCAAAACACATTCTTGTATCAAGATATACCACTTTTTTAAAAAACATACAGCACTACCTAATAACCTTTTAAAATATTATTTTAGAAAATAGTACAGTTAGTTGTAGTTCTGGATTAAACAATTGCCACATAACATTCAAGGCAGTCAATCAAGATTTAGCTGCAGTATGTTCCTAAATCAGTCAGTGTATGATGGAACAGACTAGAAAAAACCTGGATACCATCAAATTACTCATTAAGATGGACTATGAGTGAACTTCCAGTTTTTAAAAAAATACCTTCACAGAATGAAAACTTCACCACTGTTTTCTCTTGTAGTAATCATTATTTCATATAATAATTTGATATGCTCTAAAAGAGTAAAAGAAGTCCTTTTATATTTCATGATAGATTTAATTAGGTAATTCCAAAGAGGGGAAAAACCATTAAAACAAATTCTTATGATATCATCTGATATGTCCAATTACATGGATATGATGTAACAAAAATGGTTACAAACTTATATATGCATATTTACATTATATACTCAAAACTATTAAACTACTCAACTATATATGAGGAGATACATTATGACATGAGTTAAAACCATTTTTCATTACTTTTTAGAAAGAATTCAGTCAAGCTTTTAATGGAAATAATATACAAGTGAGGCACTTTTGAGGTCAAGAATAGAAAGCAAGTGACACTACACACTGGAAAAGTTCACAAAAATCTATGTGTATCTTTAATACAAAGGCTTTTCAACTAGGTTATCTTTGAAAAAAGTTAAAATTAACAATTTATCCCATTAAAGAAGCTTTCAGGAACAATGACTAACATTTATCAGTGTACCAAAGCATATGAAAATTTTATAACCACCTGGCTGCTAGGCAAACAGCATCTTAATACCTTAAAGCCCTTTTTTTTTGGTTTACATAAATCACCTCTGGTTGTGTTTTATTGAATTTTTTTTTTATTATTATCTGAGTAATCATCACAAAGCACCTTAACAGTGCTATTATGATTTATAGAACTAATTTTAAGTGCAACAGTAGTGCAAGTTTCTAGTGCTTTCCCTCATATTTAGAAAGGTGATCATGGAGGTCAAATCAAGAATGAGAGTAATATTTAGTGAAGAATATGTTTTTCAGTAACAAAAATTTTCAAGGGTTCATGTAGAAAAATGTTGTCACACCTGTTTAATGCATCTTTGGGTTATTAAAAACCCAGTATTAAACATACATTTTCAAGGGTAAATACAAGATGTTTAGTAAACTTCCTAAAGAAAACATCCTTAAAATTCTTTCTCTTCCCTGTATGAAGGAAAACACCTGCTTCCCACACTCTGTAGACCTCATGGGCAGAAGAAACATCATGTGCCATTCAGGAAGGGAGCAAGAGGAGAAGGAAAGAAATCAAGACTTACCTAAAATACCAGATGGCACTACATACATGAATTGAAAGTGCATTTATTTTACTTTAAAAGTTCATTTTAGGCACTGCTGAATAACCAATGAAAGTAGGTAGTTTCAAGTTTTTCCCTTTAAATATAAAGCCCTGCCCAGCCATCATCTCAGAAACACACACACACTTTCTCTGTAACTGTCATGATGAAATGACTAGGGTTTGTTGTTCTTATTGTCTTATTCTATTTCAAATTCTCCCTGACTGGTAATGGGAGGAAAAATAATACCGTTTTGGTATGGCTTTTACAAGTAAAAGGGACTGGTTCAAAAAAATGCCTCAGCATATCTACTAACTTTGATTACCAGTTCCCAATATCAAGAAATATTTTTAAACAGAATATGTAAGAAAAAAGTGCTTAAAATCTCTTGTGAACAACAAGACACATTAGGGGAAAGAATCTTACAGTTGTTCGAGATACTTCTTACTCCTGATTTCCCACCAGGAGGTGGCCACCATGTGGACACCATTTGTGATGGTGGCCATGAACTCTCCAGATCCCTATGGCCATCTCATGTCCTGGTCTAGAAATCACCCAGCAGGGGGCGCTGAAGCTCCAACCGTGCATCTCATTTCAAGTCATTAGTATCAACGATGAATGATCAATTCTGAACAAGTTTATCTAAATTCTGTCATGCCATTTACGTTTTTTGTTTTCAATACTGCCTAACATTTAAAAGCAGTTTTGCTGAGTCATTTGCTCAGAAAATCAGATTAAAAACAAGGTTTAGAGGAAAAGCCAATTGGCAGTGGCAAATCTATAGGAAACAGGACACCTTCTCAAATATATTTGTACACATTTTGAGAATCAGAGATTTATACTATCCATTTGTTTCCACACAGAAATTGTAACTCATGGAAGAAAATTTCCACGTAGGGGATTCAGATGACAATATTATTTTGTCAGACTTCTAGACTGATTTGGAAACAGGGTATGTTAGCTATAAAGACCCAAGGTGAAATAAAAACCATTTCATCACTGTAGTTTTTAATGAAGAAACTTGTTTAAAATTGTAAAAGGAAAAATGGGGATGGCAAAATCTTAGCAGCAAAGTGGTTAAACAAACTGAAAATATTAATGCACAAACATTAAAATATTAAAGCATATATGTTGCATATAAAATACAGTACAGAACCAGGAGTTGCACTACACTGATTAGTGCTTAACAGGAAAAAATGATTAAATTTGTTCTTCCCACAAATATGTACATGGTTAATTTCCACAGCATTTTCCTATAGCCAGCAAGTTATTTTCTTCAGTAATTCACACCTTGCTCAAACCTGAATTATAAACTCAGCACTTACAAATATGAAAACTCATTCACAAGGAAAATTAGAATTTCCATATCACCAGTAAAAAGTAATTTTGAAAGTTAACAGTCTATTCTAGGAAACCAAGTTTAGCTGAAAACTTCAGGGATGAAGATCATCTGATGCAGCAGCATCCAAATATATAAACAGTAAAAATAAGACTTAAAACTGCTGCTACAGTGTCATGGTTTGGATTTAGTTCATCCAATTGATTTTTAGTACAAAACTAGAAATAACCTCTTCTTCATAACATCTATAGTTATCAATATATTTTTCTTCTTTTCAATGTGAAATAATACTTCAAGATGATCTATATACACAATATTGTCAGTTCAAGCTGTCATATAAATATAAATGCTTTCTTAAAAAAAGTATTTTACAGACAGATAGTGTTATATATATATACATTGTTCAGTTTGATCTGGAGCAAAAGAAAAAAGCTAACACAAGCTGAAGTACAATATGTAAAAAAGAATGATACATGAATGACATTAAAAATCCTGCATAGAAAATGAGCTTTAAATGGTAGTGTGATTTTAATTTTTATCACGTTTGAAATGTCAAGCCATTGATAAAAAGGCACGCTTCTCAACTTATCCCTCTAAGGGAATGTTCTTAAAGAACCCCTTGCTTGGTTAGAGTTTTAACGTAATATTAAAAAAAAAAAATCTGATCCCATGGTATTTAAAATAGTTTGTTGGAACATGTATCCAACTAATGCTGCAGATTAAACACCCAGTAAGACAACAGTCTGCAAAACAAACGGATATGTACAAAACAGTTCGTTCACAATGCTGGATTAACACTCTCTGGGGTAGTTAGCACACGTTTCAACATAATTTTGCTTTTGGCCCATTTAAATAAAAATAAAATATAACTGACCAAATGATCAGTTATGTGAATAGTGAGCATTGAGGATGATTAAACAATAACACAGCTGAACATGCTCTGTTTTCGCAGAATCAAAGGAGATATCACGAGAAAACTGTTTTATATCTACTATCCAGTTACAATTTTTTGCCTTGTAAAATGTTTGTAAATGCTATATGTAATTTTTTTGAAGGATGAAGCTCTGAAAGAAAACAACTTGCTGGTTGAATATAACAAAATGACTAAAAAAAACTTCACTTTTTTTTTTAATAATGTTTACTCAAGTCTCTTTTTTTATATAAAAATAAGTGTTACATTCCCATCAGAACATTAGACAATTACATCTGTGCTTAAAAAAAAAAAAAGGGTTGGTCACTCAAGGCTATTAGAATATTTTTAAGGGTTTTGAGAATGTATAGATACAACTCAATATAAACTGTAGCCAAAGTGAAATGAGGATGGAAATACCAAATCATTCACATGGAATAAAACATTAACTAGATGAGTTAAATATTCAAAATATATGGAATGTGACAGTAGACAAATGTGTTATCTACTTCCGAACTAGGAAGGGGAAGGAAAGTTTAATATGTAATAATTCGTACCTTACATTAGTTAAATATAAACATTTGTTATTTATACATAAAACTGCTTTCAAAAAACAACTAAGAAATGATTTAGTTGCACTTGTTTTTACTTCTTATAATTCCCAAGTGTTAACTTTTCTTAGATTGAAATCAACTGTCTGCTAGTGCACTTTTTAGTTTGTATCCTAATGAATTCAGACCTAGAAATCCCATCACCTACTGCATAAATATACAAAAATGCCAAAATTAATCCCTTGCAGTTGGATAGTTTATGCTTTTATAGCCAATACTCAGAAACAATTTCCTTCTGTAAATACTCTACAATCTGTAACAAAACATGCCATGCACTCAAGGGAACAGTTAGGCACGGCGAGCATTAGTGAAATGCCAGGAACGGATGAGTTCTGCTTCCTCCACATGTGGCCCCCATGATACCAGGCAAGATTCCACACTGCTTGCCAAAAGCTTCCACAAATCCAAGTTAGCTAATCCCTGGAAACAAAGATTGTAAGCTCATTCTGGCACTGGATTACTTCATCCAGCAGCTTTATGCTTCCCACCACAGCACCCACATGCCTCACCACAGCGATGGCACATTCTCAGAGGGACGTAGCAGCACATACAAGGTACAATGAAAGACAAAGCTACCAGGGCTAGCCACCGTAAGCAGAACTTGTCATCGCTAGTGTCACATGAACAGGGATCAGTAAAATCTCCCTCTGAGTCTGACATACAATGATACAACATGCTCTCTGCACAGAGCATGCAGCTAACTTGATAGATGCATCTTTTAATAGGATCTGGAGCATCCTGACATTTTCCTCTGCTATTTTCTTCATGATTAAACCTTTCCTGGCAGTATACGCAGCGAGAACGTTCACCATCCTCTTTTCTTCGTTTTGATTTCTTAACTTTTAATGAGGAAGGCTGTGTCTTGAACACCACGGAGTCTTTGAGTGAACTTAACTTAGTCTCATCCCCGCAAGAGTACAGATAGTCTGATTTTTTATTCTCTGGTTTAGAAAAGTGAATATTGGAGTCAGTATCGTCTCTCTCCAAGTCATTTTTCCACATGTCAGGATGTCTGTAATCTGCATAGCGACGTATTAAGATATCTCGAGGATTTATTCTAACAATCTCATCTTCATCTTGAAAGCTGACGTGTCTGATTGACTTCAAGGGCACCTACAAAGGAAGGAGATAGGAGCTGCTGTAAGGACTATGATGGCAAGATTGCATTCCGCCTTGGTGGAGTCAGTGCCCAGATGGCTTGTACAAAGATCAATCTAGGAGTCTCCGAGATGTGATTTTTTTGGATGAGATCAACATTTCAATCAAAAGATGATGATTGGAGGGCAGTAATATTCCATGATGTTGGTGGACCTTATCTCATTAGCTGAAGGTCTCAACAGAACAAAGATTGTTCTTTCCTAGAGGAAGCGATTCTGCAGTAGACTGCCTCTGGATTCAGACTGCAACTCTGTGAGCAACTCATTAAAATAAAACTCCATCTATACATCTTGTTGGTTCCATTTCTCTGGAAAACACTACTAATACAGACTTTGTTGCCAGGAAGTGAGATGTAACTATAATATCCAGAAGTGTAGGGTTGGAACTCAGCAATAGGCAGAGACTCAAGAGTTCTGCAACATGTGTTAGAAACAACATTCAAGAGGTCACTGTTTAAAGGTGCTTCTGATGAAGCTTCACAAGGAAATACAGTATGTTATTAGATACTGCAAGAAAGGCAATTCTTGCTATTAACTCACAAAGAACTTGCCTATATTGTGTTTCCAGTAGTGATAATGGATATTTAGCATGGCAAATTCCTAAGCAAGTGCTTAAGATGTAGCTAATTCTCCCTGTTGCTCACAATAAATTCAAATGAGATTTTAGAAGCATGGTGATCCCTGCTACCTTCCCCTCCATTCCCCACCCACTATTTTCATATTTTCCCCCTAATTTTTACCATGGCATGTTTTTATTTCACTTTGCAACCAAAGGCTTAATACTTCATTAGGTAATGATATAAACAAATAGCAAGTAGGGAAAAAACACACAACTTACAATACTCTTCAGAAGTACAGAAAAAAGGCTGTAAGCAATAACCAAATCCCAAAATGTCACTCTCTCACCTAGATTACATTTTTGTATTTTGTGATAACAAAAGTAAGTTACCACAGAATCAGGGAAAATATGGTGTCTGTCTTTTGGGGATTGGCTTATTTCACTAAGCATAATGGTTTCCAAATAGATGCATTTAGTTGTAGACAGAAGATTTCATTCTTTTTAAAAAATGTCTGAGTATCATTATACACTGTATATACATCACATTTTCTTTCTCCAGTTCTAAGTTGACAGGCATCTAGGTTGATTTTATATCTTAGCTTTTGTGAACTGAGTTGTTATAAACACAGAAAACTCTCTTGTATACTGATTTCATTTCATTTGGATAAATTTCCAGGAATGGGATGGGTACGTTACAAGGTAGATCTATTTTCAGATATCTGATTAGTCTCCATACCGTCTTCCACAATGGTTGTAACAGTTTGCAATCCAACCAACAGTGGATTAGGGCACATTTTCCCTGACATCCTTGCCAGTATTTGATAACAATAAAGTCTCCCTATATTTTAAGAAATGAGAATGTATGTTTTGCAAAGAACACCAAAGGCATGGATGGTTAGGTAACCGCAGACTATAAAAAATGCTTTCAACTTGGCACTACAAGTCAAGAAATAATGAATACAGGCTATTAGAGCTCCAGAATTCTACAGCTTTATGTAGAAAATGTAAGCATGATTCTGAATAAAGGGCTGTCTTCTTATTTCCAGAGTGTGGGGCCAACTTCCCAGATTGAGTTATGTTGGAGAAATCCAGGGCCTCGAGGGTGATGCCATCGCTTATGTCCTGCAGGCCAACCATAGGTAGACAGCAGGCCACTCAGAGAATGGAGCATCAAATCAGAGGGCTATTCTCATCTAAATATTTAATGGCATTTCCTTATCATGCTTGAATTTGCTTGGAACCCATGACATCTTTTTTCATATCAATTTGCCACTTTTGGAACTGAATGAAGTATGTATACTTTTTATTTCCTACCACTGTATTTAGAAGTGGCAAGTTTAAATCTGATTTCACAGGAACACAAATGGAGAATTTACACCAGGAAGAATCATACGTTGAGTCTCATTCACACCTGAGCAAGATGGAGGAGAGAAAATGTGGACCTGAAAACTTTTGTTGAAATGGATCTACTGTCACTTAAAGAGGTGACTAAGTTAAAATGAGGCTCTTAAACCAATCTGGCTGGAGTCCTTGCCAGAAGAGGAAACAAGGGCATAAGAAGAGAGAACCAAGGGGTGTGTGTGCAGTTGAAAGAACAACTGAGATGCCATGAGAAAAGTGGTTATCTGTAAGTCAAGGGAAAGGCCTCAGAAACTAAACTTGACAACTTGATCTTTGACTTCTAGCAACCAAAATGGTTGGAAAGCAAATTTTTGTTTCAGTCACCCAGCAAAAATAACATATGGCCATACATGTACACACCTTGGCTGCAGGGATGAAAAATAACCTAAAATACACAGCAACACATCATCTGTCTCTAAGTCTGTTATCCTCCATCTCTTCCTGAACCACTGGCTCAACCCCTCCCCTTTAACTCTTGAGTATAGTGGCTTTTTGAAACAATGAATAAAATTAAATCTGTTGATCCTTCCCATAACCTATAAAGGTGTGTTTTTAAGTAGTCAAATTTGTATCTGTCTCTAGTCCTAGTCCCTGGACATGGTGACTAGTCTACAAGTAAGCTTCTGTATCAGCCGGGGCAAACAACTATTCCTTAGACATTTGGAACTGAGGTTGAAAGAAGGTCTGGGTGAAAGGTGGAGTGATGGGCACAGTCCACTAAGCTGACAATGTACAACTTTCACTGGTCCTCTCTCTTGAAAATACAATACGGCAATCCTCCCGACTCACACGGGAAGTATGGATAGAGTTTAAGTAACAGGATGCACAGGTGCATATATGGCAAATCTACACAGGACAAATATGGAGGATTAAAGAAAATGAAAATTTTAACTATGCTAATTTATTGTATTTCTTATTAGGAGATAAACCAACATTACTTACCCTATTTGGGGGCTTTAGATTTCCACATTCCTTGGATATTTGCCGCTGCACATATTCCATACTTCGACTCTGAATGTCTAGGCCTGGCTGACCAAATGTCATCTAAAACACAAACAATTTCTACTTAAGTGACAAATTAACTTCTTACCTTTACGTAAGCCATATATATAATGTACACTCTAAAACTTTGGTAACTGGTTTCAATTAAAAATCTAGACAGCTTACCTTCACTATTTTTCTTAATACATCTTTTGACATTTAGAATGAATCGGTAACATACAATCCCCCAAATTAGAGACGACACAAATATCTACCCACTAATACATAAAAAGAGGTGATAGATCCATGGACTTGGAGAGTGAATTAACAGATGAAAGATCTTCCTCTTTGTCTCTTCCTCCTCTCTCTATATCTGACTTTCTAATAAAAATAAATCTTAAAAAAAAAGGAATTATCAACATTTAATTTATCTTGTTTATTCAATAGTTCCCTAAAGCACTGTTAGCAAAATTTCACTGCTCTACTTCATAAAATTCCTGCCCTGAAAATTAAAAAAGATTCTGCACACAACACAATTTTCAAACAGTATAGAAGTACATGTAGCAAAACTCCCCATCCCTTTTAGACCTTTCTTTCATGTAACTATCATGAAACATATTCATAAACATGTGAATTATTTCCACAGTACCTTTGTGTTATGATTTGCCTTCAGGGCTGCATGTACATGAATATTTTTTCTATGTTTATAGGGGGACTATTATGAATTTAGAAATTAACAGAGAGCAAAATCACTATGAATAAATGATTCAGGGAAGCTTCATGAATAAAACTAGAACTGAAATAAGCAGAATGAACTAAATGTTTGGCCCAGTTAAAAGACAAAGAGGGATTTCAGAAAAACAACTGTTTTTAAAATTAGACTAAAATAATTTAAATCATATTCCTGATATGTATTTAAACATGAAAACACTCATCTTCTCAATTACCACCCTAATTTCAATTTCTCAGAAAAAGACTACAAATACGTTCTGAAAACTGCTTGAGTTAAGCAAGAGTCTATAAACAACTGTCCTCCCACATGATCCTTAAGGGAAAAGACAAATGGACAAGGTAGACTGTTTATACTTATTAAGCCCGCATGGGATGCCGGTGCTTGCATGTAGAGATTCGCCAGCTGAGCAGCTGCGCTGTGCAGGCCCCCAAGTACCAGGTACAGTAAAGACAGCATCTCCTGCCACAGCAATGCAGCAGGGTACTGCCTAGGGTCCCGGTGCTGTGACACAAGCCCAGTGACGCATCTTCCTGAGCGCCATCCTCACAGGGCTTGGAGGAGCATGAAGTTCATGCCATACACTGTGTGACAAGTAACAAAGTCTTGTTTCTGACTTAGCAGTCTTATGTCTCCTGGCAGCATTCAGAAAACTGGCAGGTTAACTTGTCCGGCAGGGCAGTTCCTCTGTTGTAGAAAAGGATCTATCATCCAGCCATCCTACTTCAATGTACTTACACGTCAAGCACATAATTACTGAGTATTTATACTCCCCAAGGCAGTTTTTATGATGATAAAGTATGTGGAAAAGGCATTTTAGAAAATGTACAAAACAAGCTATTATTAATACTAAAGTCCCCATGATGATTTACATGGAGTTTCATTTTCTGCTTTTCACATATATAGTTTATTTTTATTGGAAAGGCAGATATAGAGAGAAGAAGACACTGAGAGAAAGATCTTTGTCCACTGGTTCCCTCCCCAAGTGGTCACAACAGTTGGAGCTGAGTTGAATTGAAGCCAGGAGACTGGAGCCTCTTCCGAATCTCTCACATGGGTGCAAGAGTCCCAAGGCTTTGGGCCATCCTTGGCTACCCAACCAGGCCACAAACAGCTAAATGATAGTCTTTAACAGTTCTGTGCTGAAGGCATATGTTCTTTACTCCTGTTAAGAAACCTCTACTGTCCACTATAATGGTTTAAAAAACCCAACTCATTTTAATTCCTATATATTTTTTAAAAATTTATTTATTTTTATTGGAAAGTCAGATATACAGAGAGGAGAGAGACAAGATCTTCCATCCACTGATTCACTTCTCAAGTGGCTGCCACAGCCAGAGCTCAACTGATCTGAAGCCAGGAGCCCAGATCCTCTTCCAGGTCTCCCACACAGGTACAGAGTCCCGACGCTTTGGGCCATCCTTGGCTACCCTCCCAGGCCACAAGCAGGGAGCTAGATGGGAAGAGGGCCACTGGGACATGAACCGGCGCCCAAATGGGATCCTGGCATGTAAGGTGAGGAGTTTAGCCACTAGGCTACTGTCCTGGGCCCTTAATTCCTATTAAACTGAGAAGTTCATATACTTCAAGATTAGTAAACATATGGTTAAGCTTCTAGTTACATAAATTCATACAACTGTTATGGTATCAATGTGTTCTCCAAAGTCCCCAAGCTGTAATCTTAGTCCCAATGCAGCAATGTTGAATGGTGTGACCTTTACAGAGCAATAGGCCATGCCCCCAAGAATGGATTAATACTATTTTCAAAGTAGTGGGCTCCAAATAAGAGTGTTTGGCCTCCTTCCTCTTCTACCTTTTCCTCTCCCACCTCATCTTCCCCCACGTGATATTACAGGAGGAAGGTCCTTACAAGATATCAGCACCTTGATAACGAACTTCCCAATCTTCAGAACCATGAAAAATAAATTTATCTTCCTAATAACCCAGCCCCTGGCATTCTGTTACAGCAGCACAAAACAGACAAACATGCTCTTTTTTCATCCCACCAATCTTGGAGAGAAATAGTATTATTCATAAGGGATGAGAAGTATTACATTTTTTAAATATAACAAAACATTTTCCTCAAGTGATTTATAAATCACATTTAACCATGGCAATATAAGAAGGTAGATACTGATATTCTAAAACACAGGTATGGATACTAAATGCGAAAGGGTTAAATAATTTGTCCAAGACCTCAAGGGTAGTTATGAAGTTTGCATTTAGATTAAGATTTTTCACCTCCAGAGCCCATGTTTCCTAATTACAAGACTAATACCTATCTGGCAAGTAGTATCCACTTAGTCCTCTGCACTCCTTTGGCACTATTTCGTACCATTCTATATTTTGTACCGGATTTCTAAACTCTTCGGCTTCCCCATCAATACTAACAGTGCCATTTTCAGAGAAGAGATCAGATCTTTTCTACCATCATTCCAAAGATCTTATGATTTTAAGTTTACAGTTCTCTCAAACAATAGTGCGTCAAATAGATTCCCAGAGGCTGGAATAGGAAATAACAGTCCAATAACAACTTCTGTGTTGTTTTTACATTCTCTCCTTGCTCAAATACAGCAGTCAGGCAACCTAGTTCAGGATGACTGGATCCTCACGCTCTCCTCCACAATGATGGAACACATGCTCTATTTTAAATTGTTAAGCTTGGTACCACCATATTCAACTCCTTCAAGAAAATACAATTCTTCATGGGCCGCTCGGATAGCCCCAAGCACTACAGAAAGTATCCAAATTACTTTTCATTTTTATTATTATAACACTTTTGCTAAAATTAAAACCAGCTTACAATGTTTTACCATATGTCACTATTAGTATTTTCTTTACTTTCTTATACAATCTCAATAAACTGTACCACACCAAAAAGCTATACATAATTCCTATCACTAAAATGAAGCAGGCTGTCACAGTGGTTATTATGAGGGTTAAAATGAGCTAAGTAAAGCACTTAAAACAGTACTCACCACAAACAAACCATAATGGAAACATTTATTGAAATACATGTTGAGTATCCTTTACCAAAATGCTTGGGACCAGAAGTTTTTGATCTTTCAGGGGATTTTGAAGTATTCACATATACATAATAACACTGTCTTAAAGGCTGGAGTCAAGTCCTAACATGAAATTCACTTATGTTTCATAAGTGCAGCTGTGTTTTGACTGTGAGTGGTCATCATGTCTTTCCAGTGTGCAATTTTCCATTTTTGGTATCATGTCAGTGCTCAAAAAGCCCCAGGTTCTGGAGCATTCTGTATTTGCAGACAAGGGAGCTCAACCACTGTAAAGCTGCAGGGAGCCTGGAGCCTTTCACCATCTGTGACTAGCTTGCTATTTCAAAGCACTGCTATTTGCTATGATACAGCTGTGCTGACAGTTGCTGGAAGAAAGCTCCTTTGATGATCTACAAACTTTTTCTTTTCTCTATCACCTATCTCTTTTGTTTAAATCTTTAGAACAAAAATAAAACAAAGTTTAGGCTTACCAAAAAAACAAAACAAAACATGCGTAATGCTAACTGGTCAAATCTGAATTTCCCTGATGTTGCCATCTTTGGGACAAATCTACAGCTTTACCTAAACTTCCCTTCCATCCTGGAGCATAACGCAGCTCTCCCTCTTATCAAGCAATTTCTCCACCTGTGTCTTTGATCATCTCTAATGTGTCTGCATTATCAATTATTCTGTGTTGTAAATCATTAACTTTATTGCTGCTGCTACTTTGTGAAAAGGGTCCTTAACCCTGCCTCGCCCAGCTCCATCTACTCTCTGAGGAAGGCCAATACAATCAAGCCTCTAGAGAGGCTCCGGTAAAACACTGTGCTGTCATATTGATATGGTTATGAAATATCTTCACAGAAATGAATTCAAATTTTAGTCAAGTGTTTTACTACAAGATATTAACCTGCTATCCCTTCACCTACCATAAACTCTCCTCTCCCTAGCTTCTGAGACACTCCCTTCCTGGTTCTCATACCTATGTGACTATCCTTTAACTCCCTATTCACATTATTTAGTGATTTCCAGCGACTGATTTTAGACATCCTTCTTATTCTATCTATAGTCTTCCAAAACAATTCTAACTATCATCCTAATTTTAATTTCCCTCTTAGTTAATGATTTGTAAATGCATGCATACATCCAGAGACAAAATTTAAAGAAATAATGGATGAGAAATCTATAAAACTCAATTTTTATCAAGATACGTAACATTGTGTCTAGGCACAGCAAAACAAAACAAAAATAAAGCATAATTTCTTAACAGAAACGCAGGAAGCCAAAAGATAATTGTATTACATCATTCAAGTTGATAAAAAAATTAAAACCTAGAAATAAAAAATAAGCAAAACATCCTTCACAACTGAGAAATAAAGACTTTTCAGAAATTAACTTTTGAAATTGATAGTAAAAAATAACAAATTGAAAAAGAAGTGTGGAAATAATCAAGAGATTTAAGAACACATTAGAAACAGATGCGATGTAAGTATCACTTGGCATTTGAAAGGGAATGGTGCCAAGAGCCCGAGACACCAAAATTCAAGAATGCTCAAGTACCTGAAACAAAGCAGCACTGTACTTGCATGATTCATGCACACCTCCCATCCTTCACTGGAGAGAGTCCATTAGTCCCTGTCCTAACGACTGTGTTTCTCTACAACAGCTTGAAAATAATACACGTTTAGTAGAAATTAAACTGCTCTTTGGTCTATTATTGGGCTTGTGGGGAGCAAAACAGCAACAGCAGAGAGCTGCAGTCAGCTCCTATCCTACTATAAGAATTAATGACAGGGCCCGGCGCGGTGGCGCAAGTGGTTAAAGGTCCTCGCCTTGCATGCCCGGGATCCCATATGGGCGCCGGTTCTAATCCCAGCAGCCCCACTTCCCTTCCAGCTCCCTGCCTGTGGCCTGGGAAAGCAGTCGAGGACGGCCCAAAGCTTTGGGACCCTGCACCTGCGTGGGAGACCCGGAAGAGGCTCCTGGCTTCGGATCGGCATAGTATCGGCCCGTTGTGCTCACTTGGGGAGTGAATCATCGGACGGAAGATCATCCTCTCTGTCTCTCCTCTCTGTATATCCGCCTTTCCAATGAAAAAATAATAAAAATAAATCTTTAAAAAAAAAAAAAAGAATTAATGACAAACACACCACCAGGGCACGGTGTTGTCAGTTTTTGTTTTTCTATTGCTTCTACGGTCAGTTCTGCAGTCACATTTTGCAGCCTACAAAATGCAGATCTGTACCCACATAACCATTCAATCTATTCATCAAATACTTAATATTTGATAATAAATAAGCTTTGTGTTACAGTACTTTGACTCAGAATAAGTTCATAAAACTATTCTGAAAAATTAAGATAAGCTAGCCTTATGTAGTTTATTTGGCAAGCCAGGCATATTCAATTAATTTTTTCCTTATTGATGGATATATTATAGCTCAAGTTAAAGAGCATCTGTGCAATCATGTCTAAAGACTTTTATATTCGAATACAGTGAAAATATTATGTAAATAGTTAGATTATAATATCTAAGGAGTAATGATAAAAATACTGCACATATTTAATGAAGACATATTTTAGTCCCTGAATATTATTGATCTGTCAGTGGTTCCATCTAAAGGTACAGAATCTGACAGGGAGGCTGATGGTATTGACTTTATTAAAATTCTCATCTGTGTAACATTTTAAATATTATTCATTGTCTCTGTAAATCTGCCATTCTAATAAAAACAAATTATTCTTAAAAACAACAACAACAACAACAAAGGGTCTAACGCCATGGCTCAGTGACTATAAATCCTTCCCTTGAACTCCTGGGATCCCATATGGGTGACAGTTCATATCCTGGCTGCTCCACTCTTGACCCAGCTCACTGCTTGTGGCCTGGCAAAGCAGTCGAGGATGGCCCAAAGCCTTGGGACCCTGCACATGCATGGGAGACCTGGAAGAGGCTCCTGGCTCCTGCCTTCAGATGGGCTCAGGTCCAGCCAGTGCAGTTATTTGAGAGTCAATCAGAAGACAGAAGATCTGTCTCTCTTTCTCTCTGTAAATTTGCCATGCAAATAAAAATTGGTTAAAAAACAAAACCAACGAAGAATGGTCTGACAGATTTGGTAAGTCTAACATACGGTGATTATGCACGGTCACCAAGGTTTCCAGTTTTGGTCCTTTTTCCTATCACCAAGGTTTTATTTTTTTAATCCTTTTTGCTGGAATCATCTGAACATTGTATACAGAGTGCCCTATGGTACCCACCTCCTCCTTCGATTTTTTTTTTTTGAGAGAGACAAAATTATAGAGGAAGGGAGAGACAGGGAAAGAGAGAGAGGGAGGGAGAGAGGGGCGAAAAAAAGAAGGAGAAATATCTTTAATATGCAGGTTCATTCCCCAAATGGCCTCCACAGTCAGGGCTGGGCCAGACAGAAGCCAAAAAGCAGGAGTTTCTTCCAGGGTTTTCACATGGGTGCCAGGGCTGAAGCGGCTGTGCCATCTACCCAGGTGCATTAGCTTGCTGGCATTAGAAGAGGGATAGTCAGGACTTAACTGGCACCCATATTTAAAATGCTGATCTTGCAGTCATTGGCTTAATTGCCACAGTGGAAAAGCTTTCTGTTAGGAGTTCATTCCCAGTTCTGCTTTCAGATTTATTTGAAAGGGAGAATGAGAGAAAGAGGAGATCTTTCATCTGCTAATTCACTCCTGAAACGTCTGCAACTGTTGAGGCTGGGCAAGGCCAAAGCCAGGAGCCCAGAACTGCCTCCGCAGGGTGACAGGAACTCAACGACAACGTGAGTCATCGTCGGCTTCCTCCCTGCCAAATCAGTTCAGGAGCTTGGATAAAAGCATGAAGAGTGGTCAGCAATCTTCCTATGGGACCCAGACACTCCAAGTGGCAGCTTAATCGGCAGCATCACAGGCTTTGAGGAAGCAACAGTATGAAGTTTTCCAGTGCATTTATCACAAATACATGTGCTGAGGGCAATTTTATAATATTTCCAATCAGAGAAATGTCTTACCAATGAATGCTTAAGGAGATCTTTGCTTCCCAAAAGCCTTCTCAATAGCAAAAGTACAACTGATATACTTCCCATTCTTGCCTTAGTGTTAAGTCCAACTTATGGTTCAATTACTACAGCAGTACAGGGTTTATGGTCTAGATGTCTGTTGTCTTACACTGGATCTGATTCACTGAAAATGATATGCTCCCAGTTGTCTTTCTTATTTGTCTGGTACAGGACACATGGTCCTTATGTCTCTCACACACTCAGATGTGATATATACACACATATATGTACACACACACACACACACACACACACACACACACACACACACACAAAAACATCTTCTTACCTGAGTGGCTTGGCTTTGCAAGTAGACTCTTCTGGCATTGAGATCCTCAAAAGGAGAAGGTCTAACAGTCGAGCTTCGGTAAGGCTCACTGGTAATCACGGTCTCTTGCTGGAAAAGGTGCTCTTTCACAAGAGAGCTGGAAGTGTCCTCTTCCGTTGCCTACAATGTGAATATTCCTCAACTCATTAGGTGACAGATACTTAAAACAAAAACAAAATACTTTAAAAACTATTAGCAAATCAGTAAGTATATGCCACCATTATCACTGTGAACAGTGATCTCCAATATGAAATGTACATGTCATAATAAATAAAAGTTAGAAAAAAATTTTTTTTCCTACATAAGTATTTTATTGAATGCCATTTAGAAGCAGGAGACTACTATCCAATGTTGAAGAGATACCTAGTTATAATAAAACTTAACTATATCAAAAGTGATCTACATTTAAGCAAATTGAAGAAATTACTACAGTAAAATTAAAATTAATACTAGCCTTGTTTTGCAAGAAAAAAACTATGTACCAAGAACTGAGCTGATACAATGTAATGATGGAAGGGAGGAGGAGAACAGAAGCTCATGATCTTATTGAAAGAACAAAACAGTATTGAGCTTCTAAAGGAAATAATTATTTAGACGGATTTCTATCATACACCAAAGGAATTAACTAGGGGAATATGCTCAAACAATGAAACTAACTAAAAAGATGTCTTTAAAATATCATACTTATAGGGGCCAGTGCAGTGGCACAGTAAGCCGAGATGCCATGTAAGGCAGCATCATCCCATATGGGGACCAGTTTGAGTCTCAGCTGCTGCAGTTCGAATCCAGCTCTCAGCTAATGGCCCGAGAAAGTAGTGGAGAAATGAGACAGCTAATACTTTCTCCTTTATTGTATATATTTAAGAAGAAATAGCCAGATCTAAATAAAAACAACAGAATTTCGCTGGCTCATTTCTAAAATAACCACTAAAGGGGTAGCATTTTAAAAAAAGATTTATTTTATTTTTATTACAAAGGCAGATATACAGAGAGGAGGAGAGACAGAGAGGAAGATCTTCTGTCCAATGATTCACTCCCCAAGTGAGCACAACAGCCAATCCAGAGCCAGGAGCCAGGAACTTCCTCTAGGTCTTCCAAATGGGTGCAGGATCCCAAAACACTGGGCCATCCTTGACAGCTGCTAGGCCATGCTGCCAGGCCCAAGGGATAGCATTTTAAAGTTCAAATCTTTATATGCACTTCCTTAATTAGAAAATTACTCCAAGGAGTAGGCAGTGGCATAGTGGTTGATGCACTGGGAACCAGCATTCCAGATGAGACTGCATAGTTCAAGTCCCAGCCACGTGGATTCTGATCTAGCTTTCTTGCTAATGCGTACCTTACGAGGAAATAGATGCTGGCTCAAGTACTTGGTATCTACCACCCTTTGGGGAAACAGATTGCATTCTGGGTTCCTGACTTTAGCTTGGCTTTGTCAGCATTTGCAGACTGAAGCCAGGGATGGAAGATCTCTGTCCCACTTAAAAAAAAATTCAGGGTTTAGCATGTGGCCTAGAGATTAAGACAACATTCAGGATGTCCATATTCCACACTACAGCGCTCTTTTAAGTTGTGTCTCCCAATCTGCAATTCCCACTAATGCAGTTTCTGGCAGGCAGTGGTGCAGGGCCATGACTCAGTTGTATTCCTGTACACTCACAAGGAAGTGGCTCCCAATACTGGCAACTGGGAAATGAACTAGTTCTATTTATCTTCAACTTTCTTTTAAAAAAAATTTATTCCTTTTTAAAGATTATTTTTTATTGGAAAGTCAGATATACACAGAAGAGAAGAAAAAGGGGAAAATCTCCTGTCCACTGATTCACTTCCCAAGTGACCTCAACGGCCAGAGCTGCACCGATCTGAAGCCAGAAGCCAGGAGCCTCTTCCAGGTTTTCCACTGCAGGGTCCCAAGGCTTTGGGCCATCCTCGACTGCTTTGCCAGGCTACAAGCAGGGAGCTGGATGGAAGCAGGGCTACCAGGACATTAACTGGCACCCAAATGAGATCCTGGCACATGCAATGCAAGGATTTTAGTGGTTACCACAACTGGCCCTAAAAAGATTTATTTAATTAAAAGGATGTGCTGCAAAGAGAAAAAGGGAGCTGGGAGGGAGAGAGATAAAGAGAAGTGTCTTCCACCTGTACGTTCTGCAAATGGCTGGATTAGGTGGAAACCAGGAGCCAGGAACTTCACCCGAGAATCCTACATAGTGGCAGAAGCCCAAATACTTGGGCCATCTTCTGTTACTTTTCCCAGTCACATTAGCAGGGAGCTGGATCAGTAGTAGAGTAGCTGGGATTTGAACCTGTGCTCATACAGGATGCTGGCTCCCAGGCAGTGACTTAATTGGCTACACTGTTTCAAGATTTTAAAAATGTTGGTGACATTTACTAAAAGAATTAACTAGTAAAATTACAAAATGCAAAAGATTTTAAATTTCCTTAAACAGAAATGTTAGTTACTGCTCCAGAATCAAGTAGCCTTGTCTTACTTTCTTTGGCACTCAGTTTTGTCAATTACAAAATAATTCTAACACCATCAGTGTTTTATGGCTTATTACAGGGATCTAGAAAAGTTAGGTGGTAGGAAACATCAAAAAAACTTCCTCAAATGCAGTGCCTGACATATGGTATGTACAAAGACCGTTAGCATATCTATAAAGTTGTTAGTATTATGTATAAAGTGACCCATGCCAATATTTAATGCACAATGCAAATCTATCTTATTCTCAGCTGCTGGCATAATAACTATCCACTTACTTTTGCTAGAAGATTGTTTAGTTTTTTCTTTCTCATGATTATCATCATTTTGTAAGTAAAGACAAAAGGATACGGGGTAAAACAAAACAGTAATTCCAGCTGGAGCTGTCTGTGGGAGTGTGAGACTAGAGGACAGCTAAAGAGGAAGTAATAACCATTCTGTTTCTCTTCTCCCTTTGACTCCCATTTTATTTTATTACTAATTTTGAGACAAAAAATACAGTGTTCTGAAACTTTTTAAACTACACTATTTCCAATGAATAATTAAGGAAAATAAAGATCGATCATTATCTCCATTCTCTTCATGAACTCCATTACCACAGCTATGTACCACTAATCAAAGACTTGAAAAACATGACTGGGGCTGTATCCAACAAGAGAAAATTCTAATTATGTTATTTGTTCATTAAATCACAGAATTTAAATATACTTTTGGGCACTAAATCCTTATATTCTAGTATTACACAAGTTAAAAATACTACCATAGTAATTTTTTCTTTTGCTATTTAAAATATCATGATAAAATTATGCTAATTTAAACAGCATGGTAAAAGGGGGAAAACTATCCCTATTTTCAAATATCTAATGAAATGGCTATCAACACCTTGGTGTAAGTTTCCAGTAGCATTTCAATTTATATTTGCCCACAATTATCCCCTATTCTGTTTGCTAGATTTCTTTCACTACTTTTTATTTCAGAATGTTAGCTAATTCTTGAGGTTTTTGTGTTTCATCTGTCAGCTTTTTCTAAATACAATAACAGAATTTTCGTTAAGACACTGAAAGCAGAGGCTGGTGTGGTGGCACAGTGTACTAATCTCTGCCCCATAGCACCAGCATCCCCTGGGGTGCTGGTTTGTGTTCCGGCAACTCCACTTCCGACCCAGCTCTCTGCCTGGGAACGCAGGGCAGGATGGCCGAAAGCTTTGTGCCCTGCACCCACAGCACTGCAGGTGGCACTGTTGCAAAATTTAATAAGGATTAAATTTAAGGAAAACATTTAACCAAGAAAAACATACTTTATTGTAGTATACATGTCTTGAATCTAATGTATCTCTCCTCCATTTAATAAATTATTTTAAAATAAGCTATCAAAAATAATGCACAAAATTCTCAGATATAAAGCAGAGAATGGGTGAACAGGATATACCCACTAAAAATAAAGCATAATTGAAACACTGTTATAAATTTTAAAGTTATTTTAAAACAGCATATCTTTACATGAAAAATGTGGTTTATAGTACGACCTCTCTATGTGTCTGTGCACAGAAGAAAAATAGTGAAGGGCATATTTTATAATATGTGTGGAAGTTACCATGGATTATAGTAAAATTATATTCTTCCTTTAAATTCTACCTATCTTAAATTTTCTAAAATAAAAGATTTACATCTGACTTAAAAAGTATTAAAAAGCAACTATCTACACAAAACATTTTCTATGTCTTCAGGTTACAACGACACTGGAATGCTAACAAACATGCTTATCAATTTGGGTTCTTCTGTTTTTACCATTAAAAACTAATATTTATTATAGCAAATGTGAAAAATATAGAAAAATATCTGAGGGAAAGACATACGTCTCAGAATACCACATTCTTCTGGCTGAGTAACATTGTATAATTTTGTGGGGTTTTTGTTCAATAACTGTATATTTTTTGTTCAACAGATGTAAATAAATTTCTACTAAATAGATATAAGTCAATTGTATCAACTTCATCAATTGCCTGTTAGTTTTTTAGTCTTCAATTTTTACCTTCTTTCACCCTATACATTCCTAAATCTAAGTATAAAAATTGATGTATCTCTACTTCCTTGGTACATATGATCTGAAATTTAATCACATCAACAGGCATGAGTATTTAAAAATTTTTTTAAGACTTATTTTATTTGGAAAGTCAGATATACAGAGAGGAGGAGAGAACAGACAGGAATATGTGTCTGCTGATTCATTCCCCAAGTGGCTGTCATGGCTGGACTGAGCCAATCCGAAGCCAGGACCCTCCTCTAGGTCTCTCAGGCGGGCGCAGGGCCCCAAGGCTTTGGGTCATCCTGGACCGTTTTCCCAGGCCACAGGCTGGATGGGAAGTGGAACCGCCAAGATTAGAACTGGTGCCCATACAGGATCCTGGTGCGATCAAGGTAACTTTAACTGCTACACTATCGCACTGTACCCTTTGTGAAGTTTTTACACAAATGCCTTCCCTAATTTGGGGAGAGAGTTGGGGGTGTCTGAGACAGTTAATTTTCTTTATCTATATAGTAGGTTATGGTGCCTAGCTTTTGGTCAAAGTAAGTCTAGCTTCTACGAAGAAATTTTTCAGAGATCACTAGCACTTCAATCAGTTCCTATTTAGTTAAGAGATGCCTCCCTCTATAATGGCAGCACCCTTTTCCAATCAACCACATGGAGGTTGAGAAGAAAAAAAAAAAAAAAGGACTGTAATTTGCCTGAAATCCAGTTCAAAATTCTATTATCAATTGTGTGTATTTCTAGCATGAATGTCTGTCCTGTGCATTTGAGATTTGTCAACCTTCACAATCTTACAAGCAATCCCATAACAACACAAACAAAAATACTCGACATTGGTTCTGATTCTCTGAAGAAACCTAGTAACAACATTTTAGAAATTTTCAAGATAATTTGCAAGCTGTTTGTTTATATATTTAGAAGGTATTTTGTATCAAAACTACTTACTTGTAAGTCATCTTCAGCTTCTTCAGCTTCAATTTTTGATGCTGGGCATCCTAAGAAAGAATAGGTAAAAGTTAATAAAGCCAGAATATTCACCTGCTGTCAGATTTTAGTACTAACAATCAATAACTAATTATTGTCATAATAGATTGCTCTGATGTTTCTGGCAACCAGTCTAATATTGACTATTTGTCTCCGCCCCTTTATAACAAAAATAGCATGACTAATTCACTCTAGAGTTAAATCTCCAGGTAATTACTAAAGAGATATTTACATTCTGGTAAGCCCTATCTTGATTTCTCACAAATACTCAAAATATTGGTTCGATAATTAAGCATCACATTCTTTGGGCTATTGGTATCAACACATGAATTTATTCAACTTTTGTAAATAATCTGAGGAAACAATATTTAGTATTCAGAGCCAGGATTTTGGCAGCCTTGGTTCATTAAGTAAAGAAATGAGTTGTATTCACTACTGATTATCAACACCCAATTGCCAGTATTGGCTTTTGTGCATCAACGTCTCCACACTAATTCATGCTGTCCATTCCTTCAGGCTCCTACTTTTGTGAATTTTTCAAAATAATACAGACTGAGTTTGGCAAGGTAGCCTAGTGGCTAAAGTCCTCGCCTTACAAGTGCTGGGATCCCATATGGATGCCAGTTCAAAACTGAGTTTGGCAAGGTAGCCTAGTGGCTAAAGTCCTCGCCTTACAAGTGCTGGGATCCCATATGCATGCCAGTTCAAAACCTAGCAACCCTGTTTCTCATCCAACTCTCCCCTGAGGCCTGGAAAAGCATTCAAGGATGGCCTAAAACCTTGGGACCTTGCACCCACACTGGAGATCAGGAGGAGGTTCCTGCCTCCAGGCTCCTGGCTTTGGATGGGCTCAGTGCCAGCCACTGTTGCTATGCGGGGAGTCAATCATTGGATAGAAAACCTTCTTCTCTGTCTCTCCTCTTTTCTGATTTTCCAATAAAAATAAATAAATCTTAAAAAAAAATAATACAGGCCCCAGAATGGTGGCCTAGTAGCTAAACTCCTTGCCAACATCCCCTTTGTGCACTGGATCTAATGTCAGTAGCCCCACTTCCCATCCAGCTCCCTGTTTGTGGCCTGGGAAGCAGTCATGGACAACACAAAGCCTTGGAACCTGCATCTACATGGGAGACCTAGAGGAGGTTCCTTGTTCCTGGCTTTGGATTGGTGCAGCCCTGGCCAATGCAGACAACGTGGGCAGTAATCAGCAGACAGAAGATCTTCGTCTCTCTTCCTCTCTGTATATCTGACATTCCAATAAACAGTAAAATAAAACTTATAATAATAATAATAATACTGCGATTTGACGAACCTAAAATAGACTAAGGAGTTTTCTGATTTTATATTCACCTACTGTGGGTTGTATGGCACAGACACTGACTTGATTGAAGTACAAGAACTTCCTTGTGAAAACTTAAAAACAAAACAAAAAACCCACCTCAATTATAGATACAAATAAAATAGTCAAGAAAATCACCTTGAGAAATATCCTCTAAGGCTCTTCGAATACCTCTATCAAAAGCCCTTGCGTCAGCAGGACTTTGAAAGGTAAGGCCAAACTTCTTGTCATCAATCTTCCAGTGGTGAAATGTTGGAGTTACCTTATTATAAACGAGGTCTTTTTTAAGCATACACTCCAAAACCACCTGCCAAAAATCAAATGCCAAAGTTAATACACATAGGTCATATGAATCCAGGGTTAACTCATAAATGTGAATAAAGAGCTATCACCTTAAAAAAGGGCTGATATAAGGCATGGTGTGATAGGTAAGCAACTAAGTTCTTCTTTCACAAGCACCTGGATACCATATGGGCACTGGTCCTAACCCTGGTGACCCCACTTCCCATCCAGCTCCCTGCCTGTGGCCTGGGAAAGCAGTCGAGGATGGCCCAAAGCCTTGGGACCCTGTACCCACATGGGAGACCTGGAGGAGGCTCCTGGCTTCTGGCTTCAGATCCTCTCAGCTCTGGCTGTTGTGGTCCATTGGGGAGTGAATCATTAGAAAGAATATCCTCCTCTCTGTATATCTTACTTTCCAATAAAAATAATAAAAACTAAATCCTTTTTTAAAAAGGGTTAATATTCTATCCGCATGTATTAAATATACATGTTTATTTTATTCTGAACTATTTCAAGGAAAGTTACATAGTTAATATTATGTCCGACTGTTCTTCAATACTTTAATGTATTTTCCAACAATGCTGTTTTTTATGTAGTCTTCCAACTAAACTGTAAATGCTTCTTTGAGTAGGAACTTGGGACTTGTGTATTTCTTTGATACCTCCACTCTATTACAATAGCATCATCACTTGCATACCTCTTCCATCCGATAATTGTCTCAGTTCTATGGTTTCAAAATTCAATGACCTCCAAAGGCCCTTGTATTAAAAGTTTGCTCCTCAAGGTGGCATGCACTGGAGGTGTTAGAACTTTCAGGATGCAGGGTCTTAGTGGGAGGTCTTTAGGTAACTGGATATGTTTCTGGAAGGTAATCCTCATATAACTGCTGGAGTCTCTGAGAGTTGTTAGAAAGCCTTGAGTTAGGGCAACCCACTGTGTTTGCTCCCTCAGATTGGCATGTGATTCGTCCCCTGTATGCCCTGTCATTTTCCATCACACTGTTTAGTATCTCAGCCTCCAGAACTGTACAGTAAATAAATCTTTTAGCTATAGTAATGAAAAGCTATTACAGATAGCTTTATTACTCTGCAGCTGGAGTGGCAATCTTTTTTTTTTTTTTTAAATGTTGTGGACTTGAACTATTCCTGTGCCTTTAACTGAATAAGATACATATTATTATATGAACTTATAATTTTAACTTTGGTGATTTATTGCCTACCTTCCCCATAGAGCAGAGACTGTGTTGTATCTGGTTATCATGGTAGTCTCTATTTTTACACTTCAGTGGTATATCATATATTAGATACTGAGTATGTCTCAGAAAAATGCACCTTTATACAATTTTTTAAAATAAAGTTTTAAGCTTTTTGTGATAATCCAGAAACTCATCCCTGGGTCATGGTTTAGGAATCTGATTTATACTTCACGAATGATCAAGATTTAGTATAAGCTCTGGTATACTAGAACCTGTTTCTACTGGTCCACAAGAGCCAGAAGATAATTTGGGGGCAATTTTACAAGCCATTATTAGGAGATAAATTATATAATTGCTGCTTTCCAATCATTATGCTGTATTTTATAATTATCAATTTTCTTGAATGCTTTATATATATCTATTTGATGGAAATACTGCTGAATATTGTATTACTAATTATTTCTTCTGAACACCACACCCAATGAAGTTATTTTGACTACAATAAAAACTAAGGTGGGAGACTGCAAATGCTATAAATTATAATCTTCTATTCCATTTGAGAGCTGAAACACAGATTCCTGAAAATAATCTTAGTAATTAAAAAAAATAACCAACTAAGAAATCAACTAAGATTCAGTTATGTCTATAGAAGCAAGGTAACAAATGTGCCTCTGGAGTTTTGTCTCTCACACTTTGATGATACTACATGTATTAGAAAAGAAGGAAACTATGCATAAGACCAGCGCAATGTCCCAACTGATTAATCCTCCAGCTTCAAGCACAGACATCTCATGTGGTGCCAGCTCATGTTTTAGCTGCTCCACTTCCCATTCAGCTCCCTGCCTGGGAAAGCAGTAGAGGAATGGTGCAAGGCCTTGGGTCCCTGTACCCATGTGGAGACATGGAAGAAGCTCCTGGCTTAGGACTGGTTCAGCTCTGGCCATTGTAGCCAGTTGGGGAGTAAATTAATGGATAGAAGATTTTTTCTCTGTTTCTCCTTCTCTCTGTAAATCTGCCTTTCCAATTAAAAAAAAAAAAAAAAAAGAAAGAAGTCTTTAAAAAACAACAACAGCGGCTGGATATTGGAGCTGGTTGGGTTGAACTAGGCTCCAATCTCCATTGACATATATGAGAGCCGAATGGAATGTAATGTGGGACAGACTAGACTAGTCTGCTCCACATACTGGAAAGCATATTAATAAGGGCAGGGCGCAGGCCTGGTGGGGGTTATTGTGGGTCACTCTGACTAGGCTGAAGCTCCCACTCATTTATGTGAAGGCCAAGTGTGTGCTGGGCAGAATCAGGCTGGACTGCAACGCACACTGGTTCCAGTGGAAGTCGGGAGTGAAAATAGAACCAACCCAGCAATTGCAACCACCAGCTGATTGGGGCAATGGACTGTGCCGGGCCCTGTACTGCCAAGTACACACAACAATCTGGTCTGGGATCACCTCAGACAAAGTTTCTTTGGGGACCTCCCCAGTCGAACTGCTGGACTCAGAACCCCAACCACGAAGAGAAGTGCAGGTTCCATGGTCTGCCATGGAGTGCAAATGTCAGAGCAAAGACTCCTCAGAGGCTCAGACAGAACAGTGGACAGCACAATCAGTGAAAAACTGAGGAAATGGAGACTCTAAGGTGGACTAAGTCCATCAGTGGATTCTGCAGTGTCTTCATTGTGCTTGGAGCGGCAAGACTGGCAGCAATTCATAACTATTGAATTATCAAAACCACTTGAGCAAGACTCTCAGAGCATGCCTCATATTGGGGACCTGGGATGGGGGGAAATGGGGGAGGCTTTTCCCTTTATCTTCCCCTGTACCCCAGAAACAGGAAAAAAGATTTGGAAATAATAGTGTTACAGACTTTCCTGTAGCCCTTGAACATTTGTGCCCTAATTAACTATGTAAAGATCGTCAAAAATAAAGAAAAAAATGGAAAAAAGAACAGCAGCAACAGCAATGCAGTGCATGGATACTCTGAATTTCTTAAGGAAAAAAAGTTAAAAAGAAGGAACATATCCAGGGCTTTTGTAGACCTGTATTTTACTTAGGCATTTTACACACTGTAATTATACCACAACCATTTCCAACTACATCAACAAGAAACTATTATGATTAAGATGAGAATTCAAAGATGAGAAAATATAATATTAACAGTTTTAACTGCTCTAACTTCATTATAATCATAAATAGCAGAAAATACTATTTTAAAAAATGATGCTACACTGGTTTTGCTAGAAAAACTGGAAATAAATAAAGATTAATTATTACCTCAAAATGTTACTCAATTAGCTCCTCTTAAATTTCCCCAATTTCATACTGAAGCTTCAACATGATCTTATTTTGAAATAATACATGATTTTAGAGGATCACAAAACTAATAAATTCTTAAAATGAGGTTTAAAAATGAGGCCAGCACTATGTCTTATCAGGCTAGGCCAGGTTCTGTGATGCTAGCACCTTACACCTGAGTGACAGTTTAAGTCCTGACTTCTTTGTATCCTATCCAGCATTCCTGCTAATATGTCTAGGATGCAGCAAAAGACCAACAAAATACTTGGGCTCTAGGCACCCATGCAGGAGATTCATACAAAGTTCCTGGTTTTGGTCTGTCCCAGCTCTTACTGCTGTGGCTATTTGGGAATGAGCAAGTGGGTGGAAGATCTCTCTCTCTGTCTCTGTGCTGTGAGGAGGTTATTATTTGTCTTGTTTGCTTGTTTACAGAGGGAAGCAGAGACAGAAAGGTCTTCCATCAGCTGGTTCACTTCCCAAGTGGCCACAATGACTGGAGCTGAGTGAATCCGAAGCCTGGAACAACTTCTGGGTCTTGCACACGGATGCAGAATGCTAATGCTTTGGGCCATCCTGCATTGCTTCCTCAGGCCATAAGCAGGAAGCTGGATGGGAAGTGGAACAACTGGGACTTCAACTGCTGCCCATGTGGAATGGTGGCAACTGCAGGTGGAGCATTAGTGGAGCTATCACACTGGCCCAGGGGATTATTACTTGTAAGAGACTTTTTTTTTTTATAATTTATGAGGAAGAGTCTAAAGTGATAAATACAGGTATACAACTTAAAATATAGTTTATGAAAAGCTTGTTAATGGATTTTAAAGACAGCAAAAATACTTCAGTTTCCACTGTTTTTCCTTCATCAGAAACAAATTTTAAGGTAAGAATTTGCAAGAGAAAAAAAGGTGGGGGAACTGTAGTCAACAAGTAACTAACACTTCTGAAATGTATTCCACGTTATTTTGGGAAATATAGAGCAAAACTTCAATCACAAGATTCCTGTACTATTTGCTAGAAGCATTTAAAATAGAGCAAGCCAAAAACAGGCATGAGTGTATTTTTATTTCACTAATAACTAATAATTTTGGAGAGGAGAGTAAAATTAAACATATACTTTAAAACTACTATGTACTCTATTATAGTTACTACCTTACAAGAAGTTAATTACATGTTTACAAACAGTATTATTGAAGTAGTAGCTAGTAACTACACATAAAAAATTTTAGTAATTTTTAATTCAATGAAAAAGTCACTTCATTGTTTAAACAAAATTACAAATCAAGTTAAATTACTTGAAAATCAAAGTTGGTTAACGGTATCAAAACAGGTTCTTCATGCTAAATTCATACTTTTTGTGAAATATGAAACTATATTATCAAATACATATTTTCACCGATCATTTATGAAAAAGGTTCAACAGTGTTAAAAAATAAGTACAATCTTAGAATATTTTGTAAAAGCTAAAAAACGCAACAACAGCATTGATTCTCACACAAAAACAGTTTAGCTACTTCAAAAGGGAGGAAAGAAAAGAAG